GTATGTTTGGTACGCGCTGGACGGAACATGTTGATTGTTCCGTTCTGCGTTTGGTACGCATTGGACGGAACGCAAATGACTGCGAAACCCGTCAGTTCGAAACCCATCAGCGAGATTCTGTTCGAAACCCGTCGGTTTGAAACCCAACGACGTGTGAATTTGGACAGCGTGGCGTTGTGAATCTGGGTGAAATCCCGGGCTGCCGGATCGGACAGCGTGGTGTTGTGAATCTGGGTGAAATCTCGGGTTGCCGGATCGGACAGCGTGGCGTAGGTGTTGTGAATCTGGATGAAATCTGGTCGTCGGACTCCGACTGCGACGCGTCTAGGTGGTATTGCTTGGCCAAAATCTGGATGAAATCCGATCGTATGACTCCGACCGCGACGCGTCTGGGTGGTATTGCTTGGCCAAGCTCCGGTACGCCGACTTGATCTTCTTTGGAGACGCATTAGCCGTGACTCGGAGGACCTCGTACAGACTTGTCGTGGAGGCCGCTGCTTGGCCTCGGTGAACGCCTAGGCGGAGGAGGCCTTGATCTGGAAATTAAGTGTCGGATGGAAGTGAGAAGGAAGAAGGAGGAGACGAAGAGGCTGAGATCCGAGGAAAGAGACAATGGGAGAGGGAACGAATTTTGTGTTCCACGGGATAGAAAAACCTGTTCCAGGGGGGAGCGCGGAACCAAAATTTAGCCCATTTCTGTCCTGCAGGACAGCCGTTCCACATAATTTTAGCGCGCCAAACATGGGACGGAACGCGTCCGTCCCACCCTGTTCCGTCCCATCCCACGTACCAAACGCACCCTAAATGACTAAGAACGCGTCACCAGACAAGTTGACGTCACCAAAGCAGCATGCGACCGTCGTGAATCCTAGAAGAAGGCCACCAACCACGAATTTCAGTTATTTCAGTGTCAAATAATTGATTTATCCCTGCTTCAGCTCATCAATATGATGGAGGACCTTCACCAAATTGAACCAGAGGCTTTCAAGCTCAAAACCTTCGTCAAATCCATCTCTACGATTACAAATTTCAAGTGATTCTTCAATCAACCAAAATTTTTTTTTCAGGACAACCCAATTGCTCTTCAGCAAATCTTTAGCTCTTCAAATACAATCCCAAGTTTTCTTCAAGTGAATCCAACCTACAATTCATGAGATCTAAAACTCTTACTGCTTTACAGCACATAGTATGGTTTAGTTGACGAACATTTCTATGAACCTAGATCACCTCTTTGAAGCGATGTCTTCCCTCAAGCTCAACTCGATACTAGCAATATTGACGGACTCCTCTAGTATTATCCTGCCCTTCATTACTTGAATCTTGCTAGAGTTTTACTGCTTTCTTTACATTTTGAAGTCTATTTACTTTTCACTTTGTAAATTGGCTTATCAGCCCACGTTGCTTATGAATGTTTGTAATCTTGACTCAATCATGAATGATTACATTCAGTTTTCATCAACAAACTTAGAGAATCACATATTTCACACTGGATTTCAAGTCTTCGTTCACTTTAGGCATAAGAAAGAACTTAACCGAACTAGAGTCTCATTAGGTGTACATTCATTTTGGTTAAGAAGTCTAATCTTAGTGCAAACCTATGTGATCCTACATAACCAAACGTCTATTTTCTATTTTTCTCAAGTCATCTCGCAGCATTGAGACCGATATCAACACCTGGAACAAATAACATGTTGAACTTAGTCAGGCTCTATCCAAGTTTTGACACCAGCACTTGCGTCAATGTTTGTGCCCCTTCTCATTTATTACATAAAAAAACATAAATCAGAAGAAAAGAAAAAAAATTAAGAACACAGTAATACTGCAATAAAAAAGGTTGGAATGATAGTTTTTTCGGCAGAGGATAACCTTATTAACATCGAATCTAAGAATCCAACCCTGGACTTTCTTGTCACCTGAGCCAGAAACTCAGATGACCATGGGCAATCATATATATGATCTAATAATCAAATGCATGTGTTCAAAACGATCACTGCAATCGCCACAGCGTGTCAGGAACCGATCAAGATGCTGTGCCCAAGTGTTAGTGTACAACGTCATTGTGTTGCAGAGACATGAGAAGTGGGCAAAATCATGACAACCAACCACATATTTCGATATTGGGTCTTCAGACATCTTGTAACAGATCACAACTCTGGGCCCAGGTCGGCCCACACCAATGGCAAATTGGTTGGAAATTCTACTAAATGGACCACCATGATAATTACAAGTAATGATTTGGAATTTTAGATGCCATTTTCTTTTGTAGGGTAGTATTTATGTGAGGTTTTTAATACTAACGGAACAAAACTTGGAATGTAGTGGATTAAAATAATATCATATTCACTTAGTAAATTTAAGACATGTAAGGATATATATATGGAATGATTCGTGACACTTTTTTACATAACTTTTTACACATGTTTTTGTGAAGCTCACTTCATAATGTATTTTAACAATCCGGGCCGTCTATCTTTTAGAATATCAATCATGCATACAAAAAATTAGACAAATACAAAATCATTAAGAAATTTATTTGTAGTGAAGAAAATAGACGAATACGGTTCTACAAAGAAAGCCTAAACCTTTGATCCAACGGTCATATGGTTTTGGATTCGGGTGATTTTTTGGTAGAACGGTCATATGGTTTCCCTCAGATATCATGTCTACCAAAAGTCACTCAAACTGAATCCATATGACAAATGGATTAAGAGTTTAGGGTTTGTTTGTAGAACCGTAATTTTTTTTTTTTGGCTTTTTAACCAAAATGGTCCCTGAGATTTGCATAACTCCTCACTTTGGTCCTTGAGATTGTCCACCATCAATCATTTTGCTCCCTGAGTGAAAAATTATGTTAAATAATGATCAAAATGACAAAATTACCCTCAATTTAATAAACAATAGGCCAAAATGATTTGACTGGGTATTTTTGTCATTTTATTCTTATTTTATGGAGATTTTTTAGCTAATGACCAAAATAATTGATTGCGGACAAACTCAGGGACCAACTCTATCTATTTCAAATCTTAGGGACTAAAGTGAGGAGTTACACAAATCTCAGAGATCACTTTGGCTAAAAAGCCTCTTTTTTTCACCACAAATGGATGTCTTAATCATTTTGGATTGGTCTAATTTTTTGCAAGGATGATCTATGAATGATGTTTTAAAGGATAGACAATTCGGATCATTAAAAATATATTACGGAGTGGACTCACAAAAGAGTGTCAAAAGTCATGTAAAAAAATTGGTACCATTTTCAGCTACAGTAGAATATGTCTTTAAATCAGTATGCATACATCATATAAAAAGTCATAGGCATGAGCATGTTTTCAAAGTTTTAATAATCTTGGCAACGATAAAGACCATACGCTTAGTGTTTTTGGTAGTGCTTGTTGGAGCCAACCTGTTTTCTTCACTTTAATTTAAATCCACCGCCTAAATTCAATAGTCATAACAAAAGACCAACGCAGCATACACGCCATTTCGATTGAGACACTTCAAACTCAGTTTATATATTTAAAAGAAAAATAAGATTATTTACTCTTAAATTTATTTAAATTACGGGTGGAAATTCAAATGAGAAGTTGATTACAAAAACAAATGCTTTTAATTAAATAGGCTAAAAACCACATATTCATTGACATTGTTGAAGTTGAATAGCTTTTTAAAGTATATTTAAAAGAAAAATAAGATTATTTACTCTTAAATTTATTTAAATTACGGGTGGAAATTCAAATGAGAAGTTGATTACAAAAACAAATGCTTTTAATTAAATAGGCTAAAAACCACATATTCATTGACATTGTTGAAGTTGAATAGCTTTTTAAAGTAATCTGCCGTTTTAAGCATTATCGAGTAAATTACTGTAAAATCCACGATAAGCAAGCTAAAGTATCCATGCACTATATCACCGACCCAACTAAAATGTTTTGTTAAAGGTAATCTTAAACCTTAATGGATTAAGATGAAAGTATAACATATGAACAGAATCTTATACAGTTAACTTCACTACCTTCCTCTTCAAGAAAGAGCATGAGTCTAGCTGCCTTCCTCTTTCTTGTTCAGTTTCCTTAGTTTACCATGCAAAAGTAAAAGACAAAACATTCCTTGTGATTAAAAGTGTCCATATAATTTAACATTTATTTTAGGGCTAATTATATTTTATATCCTTTAGGAATGGAACCCTTTATTTATTTATTTATTTTTTTTAGGTAAAGACCACGAAGTTTCCCCACACTTTATGGGACTAATATTTAATTTTCAAAATAGGCTATGAGGATCCAATTTTCTCACATTACACTATAAATTTTTGAAATTGTATCAATTTAGACCTTTTATTGGTCAAAATGGGTCATGAGGATCCATTAAATTGATGCAATTTTTTTTTTTGTAAATATGGCGCAAATATGGTTTACATATCGCTCCAGCCCATATGTTAGTCTCATGCTCATCGCTTCATCAATTTATTGAAGGATCAAACATTCAATTAGACTAACAAAAATAAGTTGGTACAATTTCAATATCTTATGATGCAATATGAGAATTTTAAAATGTTGAGACTCATTTTCAAAATCACTTTAAAGTGAAGGGTATAAGCAGGTTTGTGTCGCCTCGACGATCTTTGGTAGCCTCGCTTATTGCAGTAGCTTTGTGTGAGGGTCTCGGTGTTAAAGTTTGTCACATCTATCGTCTTTTGTGACAAATCTATTGTGGAACAATCTTGGTTCTAATGGTCTTTTGTGGTAGCCGTATAAGGGTTTAATTCATTTATATTTTTTACGAATTATCCTCCAAATCAATAAATTTGTTACTGAAAAATATGTACCCATACCTGTTATACTTGTTGTTCTTGGTAATGAAAATTCTACCGCTTTTTTTAAAAGATTTATATATTCATGATCTAAACCAGAGTATCAAAAATTAAGACAAGGAATATTCTTGGAAAGTTCTATGTGAGCTAGAGCTAAGCATGCGTTGATTGAAAAAACAAACAAACAAAAAGAAAAAGAAGGCATCATGTTGTAGTGCTTTGTATATTATAATTTGTTACATTCAAATTACAGAATCAAAGTTTCGGACATAAACAGTCAGACAAACAGACTAATTAATTCATTCAACTAAATGAGAAGAAAAAAAAAAGAGAAGACAAATAGAATGAGAGCATTGCCAGATTACCAACCAAAGAAAAACCAAAAGCAAAAAGTCAATCCATCCTAGTACAAGTTGGTTCACATAAACAACTGCTTTTCAAAATTTTAATCCCTCCCGTTATTATTTTTAGGCCAAATCAGATTAATGATTCCGTGGATATAGTGTATTAGAAAGATTGTGTGACAATTAATCCCATTTGGCCTTATTTTTAATCCATGCAAGCAAAGTCGGTGGCGGTGGGGTGGGGGGAAATTGGAACCATAAACAACAATCATTGACAAAGTTTGACGTTGATGTTTTGGTTACAATCTTAACTCTGGTTTGGTTACATTGATCACCTCACGAACCCTGTCTCACCGTGCAAGCAACCACCTGGGCCCCACTGCCTCAGCCGCGTCTTCACCGTCTGCGGCGTATCTCCTTCACCCAACATTACATTTTCCCGAGAAACAAACAGAAAGTAAGGAACTTGAATCATAAACATGATGAATAAATGAAGAAGAAACAAAACCCTGTCTATTTTTAAAATCACGTGAAAATATATATACATACCTGGTCCGATAATGGTATGGGGGCTGCCGATGGGGGAGGTCGCCGAGTCGCACTCGGACGGCGTCGGGGAAAACGACGTCGTTGTAGTCGCCGTAGACTTATTAGAAACCGAGTCACAGTACTTCTTGTTAACCGCGTAGTAAAGTCCCAACGCGGGAAAAGTGTCAGCGAGTCGCTTATCCGACTCGGGCGAGTCAAACCCGAACCCTAGCTCGATGCAGGCTTTCAACTCGTCGAGGTCTTCGTCAGTGACGCTTTTGCTCCGCTGGAGGTTCGATCTGCCGTTGATTTTCTTGCGGCGGTGCCATGCCTCGTCGCGGTATGCGTCCGGGGACCACGACCGCTGCTTGTAGAGCGGTGGAGGAGGAGGCGGCAGGTGGGGTTCAGACATGGGCGCAGCCACCGCCCCGGGAGTTGTGGGTGTGGGGATGTGCGGCGGAGGTCGGAGGACCTCGCGCGCTGGGGGCTCTTTGAGAGCGCTTATGGCTTGGTTGGCTTTTTTTGGTTTGTTACGAAGGAAGAGGGTTTAATAGGAGGGGAGGTGGATGGTGGGGCCCAGTAGAGACTTTGCTTTGGTTAGTCTTCGTCATGATGACCTGTTCCCTTTGCTGCTTCTTCACTAGGTTTTGGAAACTTCTCATTTTTTTATCTTTGTTCAAGTGTTTGGCTAATATTTATTTTCTGTTTGGTTCTCGGGAAAATGTTTGGAGAGGAAAGGGTTTGGAAACTTCTCGTCTTTGATGCTTCACATGAGTAAAAGTGGTTAAACGGGTACACCAACCACCTTGTATTTTAGTTTTAATTAAGGTAAATATATGATATGCATGAAGAAGTGATGGATTAATCTGTGGTTATGCTTTAAGGGGAAATGGTTTGCACTCTTTTTTCTCTTTTTGCTCTTATGTCATTGTTTTGTAGTTCTACAATTGAATGAATAAAAAAAAAATCTACAGAATAAATTAAAAAAATAAGTGGACAAGAAAAAAACGAGAGTGTGAAAATCACTTACATGTTTAGGATTTATGGGTTTGGAGAAAATATATGAAGCCCATTCTCGGTACGTATATCGTATACTAAAAAAATTATGTTAGCCTCAAATGATTAAGTATGCAAGAATCAATTAACTGTTAAAGTCCCACATCAGTGGGTGCAAGAAAACCAAAAGGGTTTAAATAGTATTACCTCACTTTAACTAACACCGAGGCCTTTTGTGGTAAAACCCCACACCTGAGGATTGTGCAGGTGGTTAAGTTGGGGACAATATCGGTGTCGTTAGAGTGGTGCGGGCCTGGCGATCCAAAAATTCCAACATTGTATCAGAGCCCACGGTTGCGGGCCCGTGCAAGCCAATGAGCTTGTCACCAAGAAGGAAACAAGTCTAAACTCTTAACAAAGAGACGACCGCTGAGTTCCATTGAAAAAATGTGGGCCCAACGTGAGTCGACCTCTGAGTTTCAATTACCGATATGGATCTTCACGTGTGAACCACTAAATGAGGTTACACGTGAGGGGGAGTGTTAAAGTCCCACATCGGTGGGTGCAAGAAAACCAAAGAGGTTTAAATAGTATTACCCCACTCTAACTAACACCGAGGCCTTTTGTGATAAAATCCAACACCTGAGAATTGTGCACGTAGTTAAGTTGGGGATAATATCAGTGTCGTTAGAGTGGGGCGGACCCGGCGATCCAAAAATTCCAACATTAACAATACTTAAAATGAAGTTACTCATATGATAAACTTATCACAAAATTGGATTATTGTATTTAGAGAAAAGGGTGATCTTAGATTTACCAACACAAAGTTGGCTGTCTTGGACTTGGAGTAGGTAATCACAGTATCACACTGAAAGGCTCTCATAACTAGTGAAGCTAAAATTGTTGCAAGGCTGCAAGTGAATTGAGCTTGTGAAGACAATAGGTTGTAACACAAAGCCTAGAGGAGGGGTGAATAAGCTTAATCTAATTTTCATAAATTTGGATTATTAATCACGTTAATTATGTATACAGTAGAAATAGAAAATAAGTTGTGATTAACAAGTGTAACGAGCGATGCAAATAATAAACAGACATCAGGATTGAAAGCAAATATCAATCCTGTTACACAGATAAATAAAGTGCAGAAACTAAATCATAGGATACAAGGATTTAGCGAGGTAAAAACATCAACATATGGAGAAACATCCTCGGGCACACAACCAATGAAACAAATCCACTATTAGAAAAGTAACTTTAGAAGACTCATATAATAGACTTATGCAAGCACCATGACGCAACCTTAGCCTAGCACACAAGGACACCCCAAGACTCCCAGGACTTACACAGCTGCTACTTTGTCTTTCGCCACTATGACAATCTCGCTTCACTACTCTTCTCCACAGGATCTTCCACACATAATCTTAAGATATGGAATTGTGATGAAACCCTGGAAAAATCTCAAACACGGAACAGATCTTCTAGGAACATGATATGCACATGAACTCGCTCATCAAAAACTTTACACACATAGAATATTTTATCTCTAAAGTATAAGTGATTCTCTCTATTCTGTGTACAACTTTCTGGGCAACAAGCTAGCCTAGATAATGTTTCATGTGTAAACCCTAGCACCGAGCCTTCAAGGCTGAGGGGCTTTATTTTCAAAGCCTTACATTTAAAACTAATAAGGACCTGCACCTGCCACTCATATTAATCCACGCCAAAATTATAAGCCTTAAAAGAAACGTTAATATGATTATATAAAATAACTTAGTTAGCTTAATTTAATTAGACCAAATTAGTTTCCAAAACACCTGTGAACACGGAAAATTCCTGAAACGAAAGAGACAAGAACAACGTGCACAAACAAATATTTGTGTTTGATGATGATTTTGGGTTACAATCTCTCTCTAATTTGATCCTCTGATTCGATCTCCGTAAGGTGTTGATTTGTGGATGTTTCGTTGATCCAAGGGCCGTTGGGGCTTGATCTTGGATGAACTGTTGGAAGTTTCTTCAAAGGGCCGTGGGCTTGATCTTTGAAGGTGGATTTGAGCGGATCTTCAAGGAGCCGTTGGGGCTTGATCTTGAGTAACGGTGATGAACGGATCTCCAAGGGCTTTTGGGCTTGATCTTGAAGAACAGTGATGAACGGATCTTCAAGGGCTTTTGGGCTTGATCTTGAAGAACGGTTGGATGTGTGGATTTGTCGACGTTGTTGATCCAAAGGGCCGTTGGGGCTTGATCTTGGATGAACGATGAACGAAGAACGAAGAACACCTTCTTCAAGGGCCGTCGGGGCTTGATCTTGAAGGTGGATGATTGTTGATCCAAGGGGCCGTCGGGGCTTGATCTTGGAAGAATGATGAATGAAGAACGAAGAACAAAGAACACTTTCTTCAAGGGCCGTCGGGGCTTGATCTTGAAGGTGGATGATTGTTGATCCAAAGGGCCGTTGGGGCTTGATCTTGGATGAACGGATGATGAATGATGGTGCTTTCTTCAAGGGCCGTCGGGGCTTGATATTGAAAGAGCGATGGACAAAGAACAAAGAACGAAGAGAGCTTTCTTGATTCTTCGGGAACCTGGATGCTTGAGAGCTTCGGAGTTTCAGAGCTTCAGAGCTTCAAGGTGTAATCTAAAATGGTTCCCTTAAATGAATGAAATAGGCTTGTATTTATAGAAATTTCCAAGGCCTAATTTTGAATATAATATTCCAGATGAAATAAGTCGTTTCTGCCAGGTGTTGACACGTGTCCTATTTGATGACTTTTCCAACTCATTTCAATTTTCGTTGAGTCGCACGCTACGTGTAAAATTTATGTAATACATGAGCGTTGACACTTTGATTTACCGGTCAACATTTATTTACGAAATTTCGATGTCTACAAATGCCCCCACTTCAAGGCACGTCGTATACATGTGCTTGTCACGTGTAGGAGATGCGTTTTGAAGTCCCTTACTGTAGATGTCGATCCAAGGGCCATCGAGGCTCGATCTTGAATTGGGCTGGAGATTGTTTCAAGGGCCGTTGAGGCTTGATCTTGAATTGGGCTTGAGATTTCTTCAAGGCCCGTTGAGGCTTGTTCTTGAACTTTTGTTTGAAATTTCTTCAAGGGTCATCGAGGCTTGATCTTGAAGGTTGAAATTGGACCACAAGGAGCTTCATGTGGTAGATGATCTTTGGCTTTGGTAGTGGGTGAATCGGCACGTATTTTGTTGCGCTTGTTGACTTTCCACAGCTTTGATCTTGAACTGGGTTGAAGGATTTTCTGGATTCCTTCAATTGTTGATTTTCCACAGCTTATTCTTGAACTAGGTTTTGATTCAAGGGTGGTAGACACTTAATCTTGAATCGGACTTGTGATTTCTTCCAGGGCCGTCGAGGCTTGATTTTGAATTTGGCTGGAAGCTTCTTCAAGGGCCGTTGGGGCTTGATTCTTGAAGGCTGACTCGAACACATGGCAAGCAGGCACGAGGTGAAGGTGACGACTTGTTGCTTTGTTCAATCTTTCTAATTCACACCTGAGCAGTTTGGTCAACGGTATGATCTTCAAGATTGATGGGCTCTTCTTCCAGTTGGTGACTTGGTCTTTAAGGATTTGATTCAAGGGTGGTGAATCGGCACGTGCAGCCCACAATGCCTAGTAAGTCGACCCAAGAATTTGAGGGTCAAAACGAGTTCACCGTCCTCAGGCAGATGCGGCATCTTCTCGAGTTCTTCATCTCAGACTCTTTCTGCTGAGTTGACTGTGCATGCTGCATTCTTCTCTGCTTGTTTCTTCAGGCAGATGTGGCAGCTTCTCGAGTTCCTCAGTTCGGACTCCTTCTGCTGAGTTGACCGTGCAGACCGCATTCTTCTCTGCTTGTTCCTTCTGCACCTTGTCTCCACATGCTGCAAGGTATCATTTTCACTTGCCTTATCTGTTCTCCAGGTAGATGTGACAGCTTCTTTGGAAGTACAGCAGCAGTGGGAGACGAGTACTCGAGAGCAGTGCCAGGTAGGCAATCAGGGAAGGGTTCCAAGCAGTCGGTTCCTTACCCGAGTTTGAGTGGAGGTTCCGGCATATTGTTTTCTTTATCCTTGTCTTTGTAAGTAAGAACAAGGACAAAGGAAAGGACAGGGAGAACGCATGATATGAGATACTCTTGCTTTCTACCCTGGTGATATGAGATACTTTTGCTTTGGAGTCATTGGCTTGCAGAGGTACCCCAAGGAATAAGGAACATTGAATAACTCGAGAGGCTTCGTTGGGAAAGCATTTTTGGAGATGAAGAAAGGCTCTGTATGTCTGCCTTGCTATGGAAGGTGAATGTGGACAGTTATAGGAGGTCCCTTAATACCTGTAGAGGTACTATTCTTTCACTCGTGTCGGCAATCGTTGGATGATTGAACAGTAAACTTCACGTGCTTTCTCCTTCACCCAAAAATCTTCGACAAATTGTCCGTGATTTCCGCCAAGCTGAGTGTGCATGTGACAGGTGTTGACGAGGCTGAAAAAGGCTGGCGCCTCTTCGATAACTGGGATCGGCGCTTCGAC